ATATGTGCTTGCGTATGTGTATGTATATATGCATTGCATTATTGTGCATTTGTTAACAGTGGAGTGAGTGCATTTTTTCCCTTTTTTGCTTTAAAGAATAAAAAAAACGTGCATTCAAATAGATTTCAAAATATGCTTGCACAACCCTTGGATGAGAGCCTCACCATGGCGTGCGGGTCATGGGTGTTACTTGACCATACTTCACCAAGCTGGTCAGTGCGCCTTGGTTGAAGGCGGGGAGCATATACGTTGGAGCTTAGTACAGTACAACAATGAATACTGATGGCAATGTAATTCCGCTGCAGCCCTACAACACCTGTTTTATGCGCTGCAGTCACCCATCCAAATACTCGCCAAATCAGTCTCAATCCTACTTTTGAGATCTGATGACATCGGTTGCATCTAGGTGATTTGTTCATAGGCCATAATACATATATATAATTATTGAAAGCTGTGTTTATCCACTGCTGGATGACGGCCTCCCCATGCTGAGTCGGTCATGGGGGGGGGGGGGGGGGGGGTGTTGGTTGGTTTGACCTTACAGTCACCACACGATCGAGCATCCAGCAGTGACCCGACAAAGGGGCTGTGCACCATATAATGTGCACGTGTTTATATTTGCATCACAATAACGTGCGCACTTGCGCCCATGTCTATATAGAGCTCTCGAGCACGTAGATATCGACTCGCGCCAGTCAACGACGCTCATGAGTGGCTCGGGCATGTATGCACGTACACACGGCCGCGGCTGTGTGTATCACAGTTGTAGCCGGCTCATCGGTGAACGTAGCCCGGCACACGCTCGGACCGAGCTTGCAAATACTTCATTTTTACAACCCTCTTATCCTGGTCCACAGACTACAGGAGGATTTCAGCGGCTATAAACCCACGCGCGTATTTGAGTGGTCGTGAGACTCGACAGGCGGCGTGTATGAGGGATGCACGACTTGAAAATAGCGTGCAACACAAAAAAGGGGGAACTTTATCTCTTTAAAACAGGCACAATGCGGCCGGTTTTTGTGTGTGTGTGTGTGAAATCAGTGCAATGGCAGGCTTGGCGTGTTGTCTGGAATGGGATGAATTTTTGCATCATTCAAGTGTGCCGGTGTATATGGATGAACACCGCATGGCAAGCACTGCTATGGCAAGGATCCACGGTACCGCGCTTTTATTTGTAAACCATGTGAATCGCATGGAGTTAATCATAATGAATCTGTAACCAGTGGGATTACTATTGCCACGGAGGAACGTGCCTTGCTTTAGTTTAATGTCTGTAATAATGGTTCCGCAGTAAATTTGTGCAATTCGGCCTTGAATCAGGCTTAATATAGTAATTTCTAGCGGTGGTACGTCTTGAGCAAACTGCTATGTGTTGATTTTTACAGGTCCCGCTATGATTCAGCGGCTCGTATCTTGGCAATACAACAAAGTGCATAGCCCACCACAGCCTCACACTGTCTATTTTGAATACAGGAACTGTGTAAATATGCGTAGAAAGACACAAAACTTAAATAATTTCAGTGTCGCTGCTTGGATGGATAGACTTAAGTGAGTAAAGCGAATGTGCTCTTTTTTTTATTTCACCGTTGATGTATTGGTCCAGAGATTCTTAAAGACTTGCAATCCGTGTGTTTTTCTCCTTCAGAATTCAAGCATACATGCATACATTAAGATCTCCCATGAAGCGTTGGGATTGCTCGAGCTGGTCCTGTTCGAGAGCACACATTAAGTGCAGGCATGGCATTCGAGGCCGTGGCGTGGCTGGTTTCGCGTGAAAAAGGTGTCCTCCCGTTTTAGGAAGTTCACACACGCACGCAGAAGGATCAATGCCCACGTACGCTTATAAGGCACGTGGTGAAAAAAAAAAGAATAGGTTTTACCCTTTTCATACTTTGATACTGGCAAAAAGGTCACATTTTGAAGGCGCGTCGTCGTTACATCAGACGAATGTGGAATTATGTTTGAGATCTGCATTTTGCGGAGGATGCAGGGAGGAGGGCGACCACAATTGGCATTGGGCATTATCAAATTGAGGTAATTTGCTCTGAAGCGTTTTAGTCTCTCCTAAAGGCATGCTCGGAATTTGATTTGACAGACAGAAAGGGGAACACATGGAATGGAGAACGTGCGTAGGTCTGAAGACATCCTGTAACTCAAACTGTTAATAAAAATGAAATTAGTCTGGGCACGTCGCATCACTGGGAGGGATGGTGACCAATGGTAGAGCATCGTGACGGACTGGCAGCCAAGGAATGGAGCGTGTCTGAACGGACGTTTCTCGTGAAGATGGAGTGACGAACTCACATCGTGTGCAACTGCTAAGTGTACTACTTTAGAGATGGCAGTGGCTTAGAGAAGTCATCATTAGGTGAAAAAAGGCCGAGTGATTCAGCCAAATGTGCTCTTGAAAGACGGTGGATTCTGTCACTTTATGCACACTACACCCGAGCACAGACAAAGATCCCCCGTATAGCCTTAACAGACTGCTGTGGCAACTGCTTGTTAGCGAGTAGCACCTGTGATGGCCGGAGCCACAGACGAGGTGGGGGGGGGGGGGGCAACACCACACCCAGCCGCCTTTGTCTCCCGATTTGGCGATGTATACACACTACACCAGGTACTCACTTGAGGCTGATTCGACCTTGGGGAGGCCCAGGACCGGTTCAGATCATCGTCATTGGTCTTGGCTGTGTGCGGGAATCGAACACAGGTCGCGGGGCTTGCAGCGCAGCTCGCTAACCACGACGCTACCGCTCCATAGCACAGCACCCACAGACATATTTAATCAACGAATGGCCAATGGTCCCACCGATGACCTGGCTACCTGTCATGGACTACCTTACTGCACCAAAGAGTAGTAACCCTGCCATCAAAAATGGCTCATTGAAAAAAACCTAAAAAGTCTGTTAACTTGCAACACGCTTGCAGAATTGCGGGTCATAGAGACCGAATTGAAACTGTCTTGGTTTATTTGCCTGAAGGTGATCCGGAATTACAAAAGTGTCGGCGTTAATCGCTCACTTTTAATTTTAACGAGTGCTTTGTCATTTAAGAGTTACTTTCCGATTTCCATATTGCTTGCCCGGAGGTAGCGTCTGGTGGAGTTTAAAAAAAGAAAAACGAGTGTGCTCATTTCTCCACAGACGAGATTGAGAGATGCAAGGACAAGGGGCACAAGCAGTTCTCACTTTCATGATCATTTCACACTGCTTGCATCAGCGACACGGAATTATAATTTGTAAGGTTCAGAGCATTTTTGAAGCATTTTTTTTCGTATTAACCATTGCCTATTGGTAAATAATGCAACGGTGGCTATTTGTTTATCCAGGAATGCCTCACCGAGTCTCAAGACTCCCTTTTAAGGAGAGGAGACCCGCATTGGGATGTTTGGCCAATTCCATAAACGGTGCGTTGTTGCATGTGGAAGAAACGCGGAATTTTAAGCACCTGCAAAAAAACTAGCACGCAATTTTTATTTCTTAACTAGAATTTTTAACCTGGGAAATCGTTTAAATTGGAACAGCTCATTCTCAACGTGTCAATGGTGTCAAGTAACACAGCAACATAAGAAATGGGATGAGATGACACTCAAAAAAGACTCTGCAGAGATCGGCTCAAAATCCGCTTGTTGCACCGGCCATCTCATTGGTCGACTTGCAGCCCAGCGGGGTTTTGAACTCTCAGAGAGCAATGCGATACACGGACCCCCTTACCTCCAACGTGTCGGATAAGAGGCGTTCCCTCGTCATCCAGCTCACCCACGGTGCTTACTGATGCTGCCAATTTTCGGTGGCTCGCCATCATTTCCACCATCGCCAATGTGCCTGTAATTTCGAGGTGGGGTTTTGTGTGGACCAAGCATACGTTACGCAAACGAGAGACACAAAAAGCGGCACAGCGCCCGTAGGAAGATATGAAGCAAATACATAACACAAAATAATCAAAAGTGTGATTGGGGAAAATATAAATGTCAAACTAGATAAGCATATACCTGTCTCTCCACATAAAAAAATATATAAGTATTTCCAAAACAACCCATCAGCTCAACGGCCTTGTGGGATTGCATAATTTGAGTAACAGGTTTCTAACGTATCTGTACAAACTTAAATAATTTATAATAATAATTGTTATATGATTAAATAATAACTATTATTACATAATGATTGCTGTTAAAGAATGCAAAAAAATGGCATTCGCACCATTCTTAAAGTTTCACGACTCGGGGGCGATGTTGCTCTGCGTAATCTTAACTGAGTAATTTGTGGGTAATATTTTGCGAATTTGACAAACCTTAGACCATGATGCCAGCAGACAATGGCCGATTCGTTTTAAATTGTGTTGGGGGATCTTTGGCGTGCACTGCGAAGCAGACGTCTTGTATATTTCATGGTTGATACACCCGTGGCAATAACCAGGGCGGCCTGCCGGAATTGAACTGTGAACCTCTGCAACAAGCGGTAAACGCATTGTGACTGGGCATGCTATTTTCCTCCCACGGGAAAAAAAAACGACTTGGTGAGACGATTTATCGAAACTTGCAACCGGCATGTCCTTTGGACGTGACCGCCAGACCATCCTGCTATCCGTCCGAGCCAGCCAGCCAGTAAACGTTTAATCTTACATAGAGCCTTGTCTCTCTTCACCTTTCTCTTGCCTTCTCTGTACTCAAAAATCCCTATGCATCTCGATTGTGTCACTTTGTTTCTATTTCTATCTGTTTCATCAATTCATATATGCCCTCCCTCCCTCCCTCCCTCCCTCCCTCCCTCCCTCCCTCCCTCCCTCCCTCCCTCCCTCCCTCCCTCCCTCCCTCCCTCCCTCCCTCCCTCCCTCCCTCCCTCCCTCCCTCCCTCCCTCCCTCCCTCCCTCCCTCCCTCCCTCCCTCCCTCCCTCCCTCCCTCCCTCCCTCCCTCCCTCCCTCCCTCCCTCCCTCCCTCCCTCCCTCCCTCCCTCCCCCTCGTTGTCCTTTTTTCCCATCTCTCCCTTTTCCCTTCTCAATCTCTCTTGTCTCTATTCCTAATCCTTCCTCCGACTGCTTGTCACTCCGTTTCTGTCTTGCTCTCTCTATTTCCTCTCCATTTGATGCCCTTCCACTCTATCCCCGCTCCTCTCCTGTCCTCTCCGTATCTTCCTCCAGGCAGGAAGCCAGCCAGTTAAACTTTTTTTCCAAATATAGTATGACATAATGAAGCAGAATCCTCATTAACGATAATTTATTGACTGGCCAAAGCTTTCCTCGTTGAGTTATCAATTATTGTATGAATTGTTGTTATTCAGTATACGCATTGTAAACAATGGGCTTGTTGTTATTCACCCTTACCCACCGAGATATTTACGAATCGTCACAACTCGGGGCTGCCACATTGCTCCATTGAGTCTTCGGGTCGTACCGCGTGTCGTTCGGCACGTTGTCCGATATTTCGATTCACGTGCCGAGAACTTATTCAGGAACTGAGCGGGAATTGAAGAGAAGAAGCTCCCAGAATTGTATTTTTTATTTTATTTTATTATGTTTTATTTTTATTATTTCATTTCCATTCTACGTGACTTTACCGAAATAACCAAGAAGAAGAAGCTCCCAGCGTTGAAGAGAAGAACTGAAGAAAATTATCTCCCCAGCGTTGCGGAGCAAAGCATCAGACGCCATGCCAAACAACTCAGAGGTATCAACAATTGAATAGTCCTTGTCTCTCTTTTTTACCGTCTGCCTTGTAGTGGCTTCACTATTTTCATTTGTCTTGTTTGATGCAATTTTGTTCCCACGATTAGTTTAAATATAGCATTAGAATATCATATGCGTGCAATTTCTTTGGCGCGTGTTTGAAACTCGCCAATTCTTACCTGCACCATGTTTGCGCTTGCATGTCGAGGCTATGCACTGATTTTAATCTATGAATCTATACGGTTCATCGTTATACGCTTGCTAAACAAAAACAATACTCTCGAGTCGGGTGCAAAAATCATAATGCGATGAGATTTATTTATTTTTACACAAGGTTTATTCAACAAGGGAAATGTGAAGGTACTGCTATTAATGTACGCTTCAATTAGCTACATTGGGCACATTTGACACGGGGAATTCGCAAACCCCACAGCGGACCATTAAATGCTCTCCTCCCAGCCAAAGATTGGTGACGCCTATGTCACAAAACCCCATGAATGCATGAATTAATGTCAATAAACAATGCATCTGTATTACACTCGTGGTGCCTTTCCACAGCCCTAGACTCCTGTGGCAATCACTGTAATTATTCCCTCTCACGGAATTACTTCATTTAAACAACAGGCAGGCATGCATAACCAGCCATTCCCAGCCTTCTTTTGTTCTCCAGCCAGTGCGCGCGTGCGTACGCGCGTCTGGGCCAGCTCCCCTCCCCGCTGCCACTTCCCCGGGCGAAGCCAAACCTGGCCGCCACTACATCATAGCGCCGCAGATTGAATTATGACATGCAGATAATATAAATAAGGTGCATTAGGGGTGAGTCTGCGGGGGGGGGAGGTGCAGCTTCCTGACCGCCTGCCCCTTCGCCATTTATTCCCCCGGGGGCACTTGCTCTCAGTCTCTCGCGTTCCAATATGTGCCGTGACGCCTCCCGCATGTCCGGGGCTCTCTTCTCCAAAGGCTAAAACAATCCCAGGCAGCCACCGGACCTCCGCACCCCACGGGAGCTCCTGTCAGAACCAATTTAGCACACCGGGGTACTGAGCTGTGCTACCCCTCACCTCCTTCCGCGGATAGCTCATAGGAGGGCAATTCTTTTTTTTCCCCCCCACCATATTCAACGCGAATTTCTGAAAAAATGCAAAGTTACTGCAGATGAAATTAACAAAAAAAAACACATTGTTAAAGAAGACGGATGCAATCAGAAAAATTACTTCAGTGTCAATGACGTTCACATATTTGACTTAATGTTATTTGCGGTCGGTTTTATTCTTTGTGGCGAGGGGGGCGGTTGTATGAGCGCAGGTTATTCTCCTTTTCGGAATTACCACCACATTTTGCGACAGGCTCATTATCAGCTGCTCACTTATGCCCAGTGTAGTAGCCAAGTGTTGCCATCCTATATTTCACGCACCCTCGTGCAAAAATGAAAACCTCGCGTAGGCTTTAGCCTCCCGTCGCTGTTCGTCTTGCTGCTCAGCCTGCCTGTATGCTGGACATGTGCTCAACACGAAGCACACGGTCTGCAATGAACCGTGCATTATTCAAAACACACACACAATGCATTTGCTTTGTGTATGCACAGCGTTTCTGTAGCCACCAATTGGCTGATCCATGTACCGATATCCCACCAAAAAAAAAGTAATGTTATAGAGGAAAATACAAACTTATTTTCAAAGGCTCTACATATCTCCCGCTGATCTCAAAACATTCATTCAATATTTTAATATGCTCTGATAACCTCTGCCCGACGTAGCTTTCCCCATATTCAATCACCTGTCGAGTTGAAAGCAAGAGGTTCATCAGAAGTCGATGTGGTATCTATTAATCGATCATCAAGTCTGTAACGAAGCATGCAAAGAAGCGTGGAGAGATGCACGCTTGGACTTACACTGCGAAATAGAAGAGGGGAGGAGATGGATTCAGGGAGTTGCAAAATCAGAGACATTAAATATTCTTTGGGTCTTTCTGTAAAGTCACGTAGATAGGTTCAAAGAAAATAACAAAACACTACGACGTTTCGATCGCAACACAAACGGTCATCATCCCCCCCCCCCCCTTTTTTCTCGATGACGATAGCTTGTGTTGTGATCGAAACATCGTAGTTTTTCATTATTTCTTTGAACCTATCTACGTGACTTTACCGAAAGACCCAAAGAATATGAATTCCTGCAGTCAGGAAAGCTTTAAGTCAGAGACATCAAATTGGCTGTAAATTAAAGTACGCGGACTTGGGCAGGAGACACATCCTGGCTATGAGACATGATGGACAATGGAAGAGGCTGGCAACGAAATGGAAGCTAAAGGAGGGAATGCGATCAAAATGACAACCAGCACGGAGACGGAGCAGTGAGATCGGGTCGGTGCACAGCAATGTGACTGATTGTGGCATGACGGGAGTGTGAGGGATGGCGACAGCACGCCGAGGCCTTCATCCAATGGTGAATACTATTTTATATACACCGTATATTAATATACTTGAATATCTATGAATTCCTGTAGCAGCCTTTATTTGTAAAGGTGCCGTGATGTCACGTCCAGAATATCTATTACCAAACGCCATTATTGTCAAGCCACGCTTTGAAAGGTATTGCCTGCAAGCTGAGTAAAGGCATTTGCCTGTGCCCCAGATGTTTGCCGTGAAAGGCAAATTGGAGCATCAAAAAGCCACTCGGACTTCAATTGTGCTTCGTGCAGGCTGCTTTTTAAACACCCTGTGCAAGTAACAAAAGGCAGGTGGAGCTTCAAACAGTGTGCATCGTCAGTGTCATAGCATTTGAATTTGAAACAAACATTATTGCATACAGATGTATGTTTGCTATCGTTTTTAAAAAGCCGATTCACGACAGCAAAATAGCGTCTGACTGGGCGGAGGAGTGGCGCAGTGATTTGCGCACACTTGCACTATGAATGTGTCCATCTGGAGTGTGATTCCCGGTCACGGCGAATATCGTTGGCGAATGGCATGTGATCCAGTCCTGAGAACCAACCACCCTTCACCAACACGCACTTTTTAGCGTGGTGAAGTATGGTCAAATACTCCCCATGGCTTGATGAAGGGGCTGTAAATCGTTTTTTGTTTTGTGACATGTGCACAATAGCATGCAAAATAGACAACTTCCAGGCATGTGTATACGTATAGGTTTATTAGTGCAGATGTGGTTATGTATATGGGCCATTCCATGGTAACGGAATTGCAAGAACAATGCAGGGAGAATATTAGACACAGCAATGAAAGAGGCACTTTTATGCATCTCAATTGCCTGCTGTGTGAGAACATTTAGGATACACTATGAAAGCCAAAACGATGTATGCGTTAAATTTCATGATTATAAGGTTCTGTGTCCCATGCTGGAATTCCATTACCATGAAATGACCATTTGCAGTATAAAATATCTATATTCTTATAGACCACTCGAACTATAAATTTCAACAAATATTGTGTGAATTTTTTTTTTCTTAAGACATGGAGCGCTTTGAACCCAACAACCCGAGTTCGATTCCCAATCACGACGAATAGCATCAGTGGCAAAGTGACATCTAAACCGTTGCTCGGGTGCCCCTTCAACCAACCCAATCTGACGAGTGACCTGGGTGGTGAAGTACGATCGGCACGGCATGGGGGAGGCTATCATCCAGCAGTGGATTTGGCAAAGGGCTTACGAGTGAGTGAGTTTACCTGCTTGTGTGGGGAGGGTGGTATTGAACAAGTGTTAAAGAAGCAGGTGGCCCTGCTGGGACATTGCAAAAGGCCAAGGCGAAGCGGCAGCATGACACAACAATAGGTGCCCAGTGAGAGTTTGAAGGAGTCAGGCGGCACATTGTGGCCTTCCTTTACAAACATCGCTCGGCCGACCTTTTTTCTACGTCCAAGAGTGAAAGAGAGGGAACATTCCGCTTGCAAAAGACAGCGCAAATCAATTTCACTGCAGTTTTTTTTATTTCCCAACACAATTGTGCTTGGCTTCGTCACACCGAAAGCGTCCCACCTAGCAAACACAAGGGGATCCCCTCCTCCAAGGTTTACCCGGTGGAACTCGGCTACTCTCTCCAGAAATGAGAGAGGCCGTCTCACCGACCATCCACACGCGCGTTCACCGTGCGTCCGATGGCGCCATGTAATTGTACGAACACGAGAATGAAGAACGAGACGCTGTCAAAAAACAGTGCTCAGTGGGAGTGGGGGGGGGCATAAGGCGAGGTTGCGCCTGCGAACGTGACATTTGTGTTTCTTTGGAGACACAAAACACAAACACATAATCGGCTGGGCAGATCTGCTTTTCGGGATTTTTGACATTATCATTTGGCATCTGAAAGATAAACCATGTACCACGCGCGGTATTGTGAGCCAGCAGGCCAGTTCGCTCGTTTTAACGTACGAGTGGTAATAATCATCGCTCCCGATCAAGAGAGCATTCGCGAACCTTTGGATCTTCATTCGGCGCATGAGATTGTAATAGGAGACACCAACAGTCGTAGTAACACTCACTGTTAAAGATAGCATCGAATGATACTGTCTGAAGTAAAGGTTTCTGGATGGGAAGAAAAACACGTATTTGCGATATACTTAAAGGCACAGCAAAATAAATAACGTGAGCAGCAGTAGCCAATTGCTTGAGTGGCCAATTCAAGCAAAATCACACGTGCTTCCTGGGACAAGGAGATGCATAGAGAAATGCATGGATAAGATACATAAGACGGTGGATATAATATGACTACGGATCCTATCACGTTTTGAAAAATGCGGTTCACAAAACCGAGGAAATGTGTCACTTGAAGACGTCATCGTGGGATAAGCAAAATGCATCCTCAGCAATCCCACACCCTGTGATATTTAAGAGAATGATGAATATATATACAAAACATATTTTTGCCAAAATTTCCTCCATTGTACAAATAACCTCATTAAATACGGGACGCATGAAATAAAAATCAGACCTAAACAATTCTAAAATGGTTTTTAGCATCCAGACATATATTAAAAAAGAATGCTTTCAAGTT